GTAGGGGAGGGAGGGGGAAGGGCGCACTGGGTAATGGCGCCCACCTCTGCAATTATGTTAGTTAAAATGGAAAGTAGTAAGTAGTAACACACCACGTTGCGTGAAGCGCGAGGAGAGGAGGCCTCTAACAAATAGAGTTGCAAACAGACAGCCAGATCGCGTCGTAGAACAGTGCGTTTTTTCATTTGCGGTCGCGCTGATCTAATTTTTGTTCCGGTGTGTTTTGTCGGTAAGTCCAAAACTTATTATTCAATTATCACTTTTACTATTCTTACAATAAAACTATTCTATTTTATGATAATGCAATCAATTTTCAACAATTTTGTATGTTTTTTTTTAATTTCAAATCTAATGTATAAAAATGGATGTTTGTTGATTGGTTGGTAAGTGATAAACTTCTACATCGCTCAACCGATCGTGATGAAACTTGACATATATATGTAATTTTTCATAGAGGTTTTTAGGCTATCCATTTTTCTGTAACTCGCCACTAAACGGCGCTGTAGAACAATTTTTTTGAAAGCACTGTTCTATAACGCTGCGCACGCCTACGTTCGTTGATTCTGATTCTGTCAAAACATTGGAACAGCAGCGATACAGCAACATAGTACTGATTAGTAGTACAACTACCAAATTCTACGCGGGCGAAGCCGCGGGCAACAACTAGTTTATTATAAAAAAACCGTTTGGGGTTATAGCGCTCATCTGAGCGCCAATACCCCTTAGTGATTTATAATTTTACTGTTGTAGATATGCCAAGAAATCGTCAGCACAGGACCACCCCTAAAGCGGCTTGGACTGCTAAAACTATAATTGAATTCGAGCCACGGGAATTGAACCAGAATGTTTTCATTGATCAAGATTTTTTGGCAGCGTCACTGATGGCACAAGAATCGGAACAAATCGCTGAAAACGTAGACCCAAATGTTCAGAATTTTGAAGATGCGCATTCTGATGGCCTGGCTATAATTCCTGGACATACATATCCTTTGGCAGGTCCATCAAATAAGGATCAATGCTTTGGATCTGTTTTGACAGTTGCTTGTAACCAGATAGACCACTTCGGGGCTCATCTTCGAGGCTGAACTTTTCGGAACGAAATTTCGCAAACCAACGTCGAAAGTGCATGAATTAACACTGTTATTGCCTAACGTCTGGTTAATTTTTCAGGCTGTTTTGGCAGCGCTTTGGTTCAATTTGAATTCGTAGAGAATAATTGACCGAAAATCACTCAACGGCATCATATAGTAATTAACTTGAGAGGGACAAAAAATTAAAATTGGGGAAAGAAATGAACAGCATCAATGTATACACAATTCCCTGTCAATCATAGTAAAATAATCATTTATGGAGATATGGAGCTACAGAAACAACCTTAATATATAAACATTAAAAAAGTTCAAAAATAAAACCTGAATCAGAAATTGAATTCAAATACTGTTCTCAAAATATTCTACCAGTCTGTAAAAAGATTTCGAGAGTGAAAGTTATACGGTTACAAAAATGCCTTGAAGATCAGGCAGGTAAATGATTTGAACATCTACCGACTCTCAAACAACACAGAATGTATTGTTGATGCTATTGTTGGAATGAGCAGAGGTTTGTGGGGAATTTTACGTGTGAAGTAGATATTTTCTGATCTATAGAGCTCTCTCCTTTCGAACATGAGACTTACCGTCTCCAAAATAAAAGGAAAGTAATGTCCATATAGTAGTCCTGAACACGCGGGCATAAATTATTAAATGTACCACGTGGCGTATGTATTCATGTTACTTTTGTTAATCAAAACAAAATGTAACGGAGAAATAAGGGAAAGCCGAGGTGGTGGAATGAATAGTGTACATAATGGGCGTGTTATTCTATGCGATTTTTATACAATGCAAGTCCTAAATGATAAGAGCGCCCATGCAATTTCCAGGCAAGTCTAATATGTTTTTCAATTATTATCACAATACCAACTACTTCTAAATTTCGTACTCCTTCGCCTAGTATAAAAATAAACAAATCAGGCCAGTCTAAATTTCGTACTCCTTCACCTAGTATAAAAATAAACCAAAATAAGCATCAACATTCCAACCTCGTAAAAACTCTGCAAGGAATTTCTTGCATGGCAACAAAGTTGCATTGCATGAAAATTATATATTGCTAAACCCCCATAACTTGCTGGAAAGAATGTCTTGTGATTTACTCACTAAAGATATCACACCCGTATTATAAGCTTTACTTCCCAAGCTCGTTATATTATAAAAATAATGGTAGTATGCCAACACGTTAAAATAGATGAAATAATTATTAACATAAGATATTGAACTACTTTCAAAATGTTTTAGGAATGAAAGATCTAATTGGGATTCAATTAATCTGACAATTCAGGCATTTCAATAGGAATCATTGAATAGCGTTTTTCCACAAAAAAAACAAACCGAGGGATATTCAATGAACTGAAAAACCGTCTTGACTACATGAACTTTTAAAATAGCTTTATATAACACAAAAACTCAGAGGTGCCATAGCTCATCCAAATTATAAGACAAAACACTATTGATAGATCATGCTATACAACCTTGTTCCGATTGTGACCTTGCATATGAAGGACAAACGAAACATTTTTTAAACCAGATGAAAATAAAACATGCAGATGGTTGTCCTAAGAGGAATCGAAAGGAAACCAACAAGGAAGCATTGAGTACACAACGCTTTGAGTTGGATTACAAATTTGACATTAATTCGACCAAAATTTCATTGGTTTGGACTTTCATTGTCTAATATGATTTGAATTGATTTGAAATCCCTGGAAGAATCTATAAAAAATTAAAAAGATAAACTGAAAAATAATTATATTAAACAAAAAAAACTGAAATTACAATGAAATAAAATACAAGCAACAATAAAAAAAAACAAAAAATTGAACTATTAACACGAGATGAAAATTAAAAATTATTAACATGAAATGAAAATTTATAAGATTTCAAGCCAAATTACTTCACGACGTTTCGATTGTTGGTATTCACAATCTTCTTCGGGTGATAACTGGACTCATTCCTCCGAGATCTGACTATTTATAGGTCATATGGGTACTTTCATCTATCCCCTCTTCCCGCTTTCCGCTTTATCGGTTTAAGCTGGAGCTGACCGTTTGGCGGGAGTTGGTCGTGTTCCGCTTGATTATAGGTTTCCATATGTTGCGTATCTCTACGCTAGCTTGGCTGAATGCGTTGTTGGGAAATATATATGCGACTTCTTTGAATTTTCTCCTAAACCAGTGTACCTCCTTGTGGATGATTTCAGCTTGAGACCACTTGATGTTATGTTGATGAGTCCAAACATGCTCTGCTCTTCCTGATTTGCTGGTTTCTCCTCGCTGTGTGTGTTTCTTGTGCTCGGTATTGCGAACTTTCAATGGCCTCTTAGTATGATTCTCCGCACTCACAGGGTATCAGGTAAATGCAATTCTTGGAATCGCAGTTCACGTTTGGTGGCCTGGTTTTCGTGAGACTGCTACGGATAATGTTACCGGATCTGAAGCAGGTTCTGATGTTGTACTTGGAACCAATTCTTCTTATCCTCTCCGATAATCCTCTGATGTAGGGGAGTACAAGTACTGGTTGTGGCGGCTTCTCTTCCTTGTGGAGCTCTTACTGTCTTCTAGCCAAAGTCTGTTCCACCATCACTCTGGAGTAAACATTCCGTTGAAGGTCATGCCTAGTTCTTTTTCGAGACCTTTTTTTGTATTACAGAGCCCCAAAGCACGGTCTACTAGAGTCTTGATGATTCCTCTCTTAATCAATTGATGTTGGTTGGATTCCTGTTTCAGATACAGTCCCGTGTGGGTGGGTTTTCAGTATACAGATGTTTCCCATTTAGTGTATGTCCTCTTCACCAATACGTCTAGGAATGGTAATTTGCTGTGGACTTCCTTCTCCATTTTGAAAGTGATGGAAGGACCTACGTTGTTGATGTACTTCAGGAAGAAATGCACCACGAAACATTTTCAACCACCTTCAAACAAACGTCGACCAAAATTGTTTGGAGACTGTGTTATCGAAGAACATAAACTTACCTTTAGGCGGCATAAAGAGGCATGTCAGTTCATTCAGAAAAAAAAAATTATTTAGTGCAAGTTCGTTGGCTCATTTTTGAGTATAACGACAGGTAAAACCTCAGTAGTACAAACTGAGACAACACAAAACACACAAACATAAAATTGCAAAAACTCAACATACCGTTTGTCTATGAAAAACAAAAGTTAGACTGTATTAAAAAAAAGTTAAACTGGAATCTCTGGCGCAGAATAAATCCAAAAAACGAGCATTTTTTCCTATCACCAGATATGCAGCGCCAATGGAAACTTCAGGACATGAAGAAAACTTGGTAGAATTCTGAGGAAGTTCACCTTCAGCCAGAACATTTATAAAAGTTCATGTTTGGTAAAAAAAATATCGAAATTAATTTATATCTTCTAAACGGTAATAGATAGGTATAGGGAAACAGTATATGCATTTGTTGACAAAGTGATAATGAATCATAATATGATATTATATACGGGGTGTTCCATTTGAAAAATCAAAGAAGCCGCTACTTTATAGTAGAAGCGACAACGCCGCTTCGTCTAAAATATTTTAGGCGTGTAGGTCATATTGACTTATGCATACTGTATTATTTTCAGGTTGATCCGTTGAATAGTTTGACAGAAACGGCTAATTAACGCTCATTATGAAAAGCCCTGTATGTATACATATAATTTTTTTTGAAACTTGTGTGAAATAAATTTAAATAGTTGATATGTTTATCTATGTTTGTTGATCTGACGACCTACAATAAATTTAATACGTTTTTCGAATATGTTAATTATATATGAATATAATTTTTTTCCTGCTTCTACTACTATTCTGAAACTAAAATCAGAATATAATGAGGGCATGCCGATCACATGAAAAACATATCGCATGCATCGGTAAATGGTCACAAGGGTGGGAAGATTTTATGATGAAGAATACACATTTTTCAGGAAGTTGATAAAGTTTTACTAATAAAATGTGTTGTTATTTTATGCCAGTTGATAACATAATACTTGAATAGTTTTCATTATTTGATAAATGTGGATTTGATCAATGATCAAATTCATTGCACAATTGCCAGTTTGTTCAGCATTTAAAAGTTTGAATGTGTAATTTTTAGCAAATAACTATCGTGATTTCTTTTTTCATTTATTTTAAAATATGAAAATACTATAAATCACATAATGGTTTTTCATTGGAATCTGCTTTATAACCGCAAAGACACTGTCTACTTCCTAGACCATTTGGTAAACAAATATGTCCACCTGGACACTGGTTTCTATAATATTCACATACATTAGACAATTGCGGGCAACTATTGGCCACTGCAACCAAGGTAAACAGTTTATTTCCGCTTCCTCCCAATGGAACTGGAATGGGTGGTAGTCGTTTTAGTGTTAACTTGTCTACTCTTTCAACTTTTTTCCTAAAACATAAAAAAACATTCACTTGTATTTGAGTTCGTTATAGTTGTGTATAAAAACTTACGAAATCCAATCTGACCAATAGATCTGTTTGTCCGTACTTGCTATTCCGAATGGATAAGTGCAGTTCTCTGCAAATGTATGCTTGAGTCTAGTGTCGATGTGAATACATTCTATTTTTTTAGTTCCAGCGTCAGCATAACACAGTTGCTCGGTTTCATAGTCGATGGTCAAAGAATTAGGAAGTGATTGTTTTTCACCTACAACAAAATATATTTTGAAATAAGAATATATACCGATTGTAACTGTTGGCAACGAAATGATTGTACACGGCGCAATTCAGTGGGGAGAGGAATTTGAAATTGTGATAGAAAGTATAGTTCATTTAAGCTGATATTTCTAACAATGAAGTGAAGAAGTGAAAAACCGAGACATCTTTAAAACATTCATTTACCTTTTCCTTCAATATAATTTACTTTAACAAATTTTTATTGAAAATCTTCCTGAAAATCTGCGCATTTGGGAAAAACTCTTGTTGGATACTTTTTAGAGACTATTCTCCGTATTTCTCAACAATACACACCTTGTATGAATATCCGCCTATCCGTACCATCAGCATTCGCCCATTCGATTCTCGGGTTTTTTCTATTCCAGTCTGACCAGAAAATTTTTCCCCGTTGAGGGTGCACAGCTATTCCCCTTGGATTTACCAAACCATTGTTGAACAGAGTTCTGCGTAATTTTGTGTCCAAATTTGCTACTTCTATAGTATCAAGAGTTGAATCAGTCCAGTATATGTTACGTGATAACCAGTCTACGGCTAATCCTTCTGGAGATCCGATTCCTACAAATAGAATTCCTAGTTACATTCTGAGATTCTCATCTGATTCATCAATAATAACAATAACTTCAATACAAGCTATAATTATTATATCTGAAGAAAAGTTCATTACTCTTCAATAGATTAGTTTATGGGAAAAACTATAAAATATCCCCCTTCACAAACGATTTTACTATTGCTTGGTTGAAATAAGCTCAAGGAATTAATATGTTTCACGAATGTTCATTGTGTCAAAAGCAGCTAATTGTCTCTTCCGGTGACATAATGTCCTCAATTGTCCTTAAAACTTATCCAAAATGGTGCTGATGAGGAGTTGATGAGTATTTTCGCCTGAAAGTTTGAAGTACACCTGCATAGTGTACCTAATATCATCTGTGGTATGAAATAATCATGCCATAATCTTAAAACCGCTAGTTAGCACATGTCACAATATGCTCCTACGACGAAAAGCTCTCAATTAGAGGGCACTTACTTGAAGAAAAGAGCTGAAACAGATTCAATGTTTTATTTAGGGTGATATACTGACATCCACATATTCTTGATTTCCCGAGTAAATCTGTCTGTTTAAAATCTGTTTCTGTTTTTCCGTTAACCAGCTGTCGCCCCCTACGAACGACAACCCTCAAAAGTCGAAACTTGTGCGAGCTAAGGATTAACGAGGTCTTACCTTTCAACATGTGATTCCTAACACGTTTACCTAACAACAAATTAACCATCAGGAAAGAGAAAGAGGCATAAGGAATAACATAGACATAGAAAAATAAAGAACAAAAAAAACGGATGGGGATGCATAAAAAGAGGAACATAGAAATAAACGAAATAGAGACACGAAACGTTATTAAATAACTGGAACAAGAAAATGAAGATAAGAAAAACAATAAAAACAAAAATTGTGATAAGTATTTAGAAAAGTATCAAGCTGAACTTCCCAGTAAAATTGGCAACAAATTTTCTAGCAAGAAATGAATGAAAAAAATTGATGTTTGACGACCAGAAGATGTAAATTTAAGGATTAGACATTTATTTATTTATCCAAAAATGGGATACAAGCAGGTAAATACCCATAGAAGCATCCACTGATAGTAGTGGTTACAGAGATACACGGTGTCAACAGATACAAGAAAAAATAAAAATTAATGAATTGATAAATTTCGTATATACATACTAATTATTCATTATTTTTGCTATGTGTGGAATATTCTTTTCATAGTTATTTTAAAGGAATTCAACGTAATAGAGAAAACATATACGTTACTACAATATTTGTTGAAAGAATCACACTTTCTAGTAATTGGGGAGTTTTAGCCCAAATTTGTATTGAAATTCGGACTGGCAAGTAATTTTCTGTTTCTAGTGTTCCTATATGAGGAACGTGATGAAAAATTATTGATACTAGATTTGGTGAGTCAATTATTATTCTTCGTTGTTCTAGGAGCTGTATTTTGTAGTGAGATCGAATTTCGCTAATGCCAAGTATTACATAAGTCTTCGTTATTTTGAAATGCAACAACCTCACAAATCTGTTCTGGAGTCTCTCTAATCGTAATTTATGTGTATCATAATGTGGGCCCTTATGACACTTCCGAATTTAAGTTTAGGTACTATAAACAAATGCATAGTACATAGATTTGATTGCTGCCTCGTTGTTGAAGTCTCTGCATATTCTGCAGAAAAATCTCAAGGTTTTGCTGCTGGAATATATTACATAATCCAAATGGGGATTGAAAGTCATTTTTGTATCAAAATAGTTAACCGAGTAAGAGGAGTTCATTCCACCCATTACATTTTGTGAAAATGACAGGTGGACAAACTTAACGAGGGAAGAAGAGGCGGAAAATATAAAATATCCAGTCTATCAATACAAAGGATGTCATAAATCCAACGTGCATTATCGAAATGCACAAATTGCAAACAAGGGAGGCTTCAAACACAACCATATCGCAGATAAGAAGTACGTCGTTAATTCTTCAATGAACGTAAATAAATAATGGGAAATTCCAAATCATCTATGTTATTATTCTACTCATTTGGGAGGCAGTTTGAAGCCCTCATTTATTTCGTTTAGAGAAATTTTAGTAAAGAAGTAAAAGCTCAGATGCAAACATTTTTAATTGGCGATCACAAATGTGTTGAATCCCTATGAAATTACTATATGCAATGACAGAGAAAATGATGAAACCGGAGTCCGAAACTTCGTGATCCAACACCAGTCAGCGCTCTGTTTCGATCCGCCAAGGTCTCATTTCATTTTCCGAAAAAATATACTCAATAACAAGACTAGAGGTTCTAAAAGAAAAGAAATTGTTGTAGGGGATATTAACAATATGGAGACAGATATAAGTATAATTAAATTTTCGAAATCCTTGGGACACTTTCACTTGATAATTGAAAATCAACGATAATACATTCAATGAATAAATTGTTGAACACAGAATAAAATAATCTAAGAAATACTAATGTATTATTTGTTAAGACGTCGAGAAGAAATAATTTTAACTAAAGGGTTTTTCAATAAGGGCGGGTAGATGTTGAAATGGAATAAAACAAGCTGTGTGTGAGGTATTAACAAAATTATTTTTTTATTTGAAAGGCGCATGTATGCCATTAAGTGTGGAATATGACATCATTCAAATGCCCGCCTCGGCTTCTTACGGTGGCACGGATCCGAGTGGTCCAATTTTCAACGACTCTTCCGCATAGATCCGGCTGAATTTGAGCGATGGCCTGTGTTATGTTCACCTGTAGGGCATCGGTCGATTGTGGTTTATTTGCATAGACCTGCGACTTCAAGAAACCCCACAGGAAAAATTCTAGCGGGGTCAAATCGCATGACCTTGGTGGCCAATTCACATCACCCCTGCGAGAAATAACCCTACCCTCAAATCTTTCATGCAAAATGTCAATCGTGGCGTTTGCTGTGTGATACGTAGCGCCGTCCTGCTGGAACCACATGTCGTCTAGGCCCATATGGTTCAATTTGGGCCATAAGAAATTAGTTATCATCGTTCTGTACCGCTCGCTGTTGACGGTGACCGCCTCACTAACGTCGTTTTCAAAAAAGTACGGACCAATTACGCCGCCGGCCCAAAATCCACACCAAACGGTAACTTTTTGAGGATGCATTATCACCTGGTGAACCTCGCGTGGGTTGGTGTCGGCCCATATACGGCAATTTTGCTTGTTAACACAGCCATTCATCCAAAAATGCGCCTCGTCACTTAAGATGATTTTTCGGCCAAAATTGGGCTCCTCTTCCAAACGATTCGAAGCCCAGTCAGCGAACAAACGGCGTTGTCCATGGTCATGAACTTTGAGCTCCTGGGTCAGTTGGATCTTGTACGGGTGTAGGCCCAAGTCAATGCAGAATTCGCCAAGTTGAAGTCTGCGAAAGGCCGAGTTCTTGTGCACGGCGATGAATAGACTGCCTCGGGTTCTGCTGTACACTTTCACGGACCGCGGCGATGTTCTCGGTCGATCTTGCGTTCCTTGAACGTACGGGTGTTGGCTGATTGTTTACTGAACCGGTCATCTCAAATTTGGCCACCAAACGTTGAAGAGTCGACTGTGAAGGGCCACAACGTCTACCGTAAAATGAACGCAATGCGCGCACCGTTTGCGTTAACGAACACTCATTTTGATAATACAGTTTTATCATTTGAACGTGCTGTTCAATCGTGTAACTTGCCATGAACAACTGAATAATAAACAAAAGATTTGACAGATGTCACCAAAACAAAATGGCCGCCACGGGGCGCCAAAATCTACCCGCGCCAATTGAAAAACCCTTTATATGTATTTTCTCACCTTTCACTATAAAATCTTCTTTCCCACTTCCATTGACAAAAGAGCTTCTGATTGCTCTTCCGCTAATGTCACTCCAGTATATCCTCCCTGATAAACAATCCACGTCTAAACCTACTGCTGTTTGGAAAGCTTTAACCTGAACTGGTCTCCTCAGAGATCTGGTGTTATCAAGAGGAATCTTCAAAGTCGCCATTCCTTGGTTGAGTAGGAGAAAAGTACCGTCGTTGCGAAATATTTCTCGACAGAAAGAACCATTTCCCATGTAACCAGTGTTGCAACGGCAGATGAATTGGCGATTTGAATCTGGAAGATGAAGTTATATTTGGAGAAAATATAAAAACTATTAGTATTTATGGGTAGAAAGAAGTAGTGGCTACCTTATTCGAGTCCGGAAGACGGCAATGAGATCAGGGTGAAATTGACCTTTATCTGAGAAGTGATTGATTTCAATACTGTAGCCGTAGCTTCAGTGTGTTCTTCGGTGGAGAATGAATCCAATGTTGATACTTTCGTTTTATACGAAAAATGTATAAACTTGGACACACTCAAATCGGAGATCAATATGTGGAGAATAAAATGGAAAAATGGAGACAAATAGAGGCTCTTAGTGAATGCAATGCTGATATATTTCTCAACTTTAATCCCCGTTGAAAATATTGTCCATACTGCTTTTCACTGTCTTACACCATAGCGATCTTTTTCGACTCCCGAAAGATTGAAAACTTATTGAAGAAACTCAACCGGAAAAGACAGACTGATGTTATGACTTTATTGGTTGTCCATATACAATGTTAATTTTCTCAAAAATTTTAGAGAACATTGAATGTCTTTGCTTCTTTTGATTTTTTTTTAATAAATAAGTGATGAGTGGTGCCTTGTCACCCCCTGTCGCTCATTTGAAATATCTTCAACCATCCTCCGATATAACCAGTTTTTTTCGAACTGAAGAAAATATTTCTGTAGCGACCCGAAATAAACTGCAAAAACAAAAATTTTGTAGCCTTTCACTTTCAAACCTTTGGTATTTATATCACCCTTCACTCCCTGAAATAAATGGCTGGCTACGGATATGATATGCATTTACGAGTTTTTGTACGTTGTCTTTGGTAGTGCCCGCCTTTTCAGTTTCAAAGTTACTGGATATTCTTGGCAGGATGCCTTCAAGAATTTTAACAATATTTTCGGGAAAGAAAGGTTTTGGCTATCTACTTCTTTATCTTCATACAAATATAAATAAAATGTGGGAATCTTCCAAATTAGTGGAAAGCCAAAACCTTTCTTTCCTAAAAACTAATATCTTCTAAAAATACCCCCATTTCAATTCAAACAAAATTCCTATGGCGGAGATTAATTCAAATGAGCGAAGGAATGTCATTACGTACCATCATAGATGACATGAGTAGATTCAATTCATTTGTGACATAACGTCGTTACTGATATCCATATTGATGCTGAAGAGGCAATAAGGCAAGTGTCTTATTCCGAAACATCGTGTAATTCAATGTTTATTTGAAAATAGTGATTCCATTAACTATACTACATCTCGACTCGTTGTTATTTACTGTCATCTGTTCTATCAAATTTAGTTATATATTAAAATTCTCTGCAGACATAGGGTTACTCTGTAGTCTGTGGATCGAGCTGTGGTAAGTTGCTAGTTTATGTTGAAAAGGGTGATTAGAATGGTTTATTGTTGAAAGTTGTGTCTGTGTGGGTTGGTTTGTGGTAAATTGCAAAATCATGTTGTCGTTGATTTTTGTGATTGTCAGGTCCGAGAAATTCATAGAATTATTGGTTCCTAGTTCTACTGTGCATTTTATGTTTTGGTGAATGGACTTTATGCATTGGAGGAATGTATATAATTGTCGATGTGTACCTATCTGTGGAACTGGAACATATTTGTACCAATAGATGAATTTTTTGAAATATTTTCAATTTTTTTTTACTCAACATGGCATAACGCCACCCCCAACATTAAATTTATATCTATGATGTTTTACTGGAGGTTTATGAAAACGTTCATAAATACATATGGAACAAGTTCCTCAAGTTTAGTGAACTTGCCTCACATTGTATAGTTATCTTTAGTCGTTTGTGGAGTTACTAAACTTTGCAAAATTCAGATCTACCTACCATTGAAAAGTTTCTTCTCTAACACTGTTTTTATAACATTAAGGAAAATATTGACGTGGCAGGATCTTTAACTTGTGAAAGACCTCATCACTCCACCTCCACCTCGAAAGCCATGCTCGCCAATACACGGCGAGCAAGGAATCGTCTAACGGACCAAGAGAAAGCGGAAGCATTTGCGGACAATTTCGAGAGGCAATGTAGAGAGAACGACGTCTCGTTCACGGACGAAGTAGAAGAAATAGAGACACAGGTGGAAACGGCGGTATGCAGACTCGGAAAACAAATAAGGGTCAACGCGCAACCCCTGGCACCAACATCTCCCGAGGAAGTGAAAGATATCGTAAGACGTCTAGCCAATTGGAAAGCCCCAGGCCCAGACCAAATAACACACTCAGACTGCAGCACTTCCCGAACCCGTTTAAGGAAGCGACGGTTATCCATATCCCGAAGTCAAAAAAGAACCACCTACTCTCGGATAACCACAGGCCAATCAACTCAACCCCTTCCTTAAGCAAAGTGGCAGAACGTGTCATCCTGAAAAGATTAAAGGATCAAACCAACAAACTAGGAATACTACCACACGAACATTTCGGTTTCAGATCAGAACACTCGACAGAGTTGCAAGTCCTAAGAGTAGTAGACTTTGCCACGGAAGGCTTCAACCTCGGCAAAGAATACAACACCGGAGCGATTTTCTTAGACGTCTCCAAGGCGTTTGACAGAGTCTGGCATGATGGACTTCTGGCCAAAATGATCAACTTTGGCTACACGAAACCAATGGTAAGATTAATCGAGTCTTTTCTAGCTGACAGGCGATGCCGCTGCAGAGTAGGAAAAAAAATCTCAACGATGCGATTATTGGAAGCAGGGGTCCCACAAGGTGTAGTCCTTTCGCCATACCCATACCTCTTCTCGGTATACACAGCAGACGTGCCCAAGCCGGAGAACAACTTTAACAAGTTGGCACTCCGCGGACGACACAGCTCTGCTGGCGAGGTCAACAAGCCAAGCGCACTTCACCAGATACTTGCAGGAACAGGCAGATAGATTAGAGGAATGGGCTAACCTGTGGAAGATCAGTATAAACCCTGACAAAAGTCAAGCAATACTGTTCATCCGGAGGATGGTACACCAGGAAAGAAAAGTCATCTTCAACGGACAAGACATTCCGTGGACCAATGAAGCAAGATACTTAGGTGTCAACCTAGACGTTCAGGTCTCACGTACGTCGTCAGAGAATAGGAATGGCGATATCTGCCCGACAAAACCTACTACCAATAATAGGTAGAAGAAGCAACATGGGACTGAAAGTGGATCTGCTGATGATAGAGACCGTAATACCACCGATAATCCTGTATGTCTGCACTGCCTGGGGCCACATACAGAATACAGATCCAGTCGTTTATAAACGCGTGCGTAAGGGCCGCCGTAAACGCTCCAAGATATGTACCGAATAGGTACGACAAACACCGGAGGCCAACGAAGCAGAACCAAAGATCACCCCGAGGGTCGCTGTTAGGCGGCTCCGGTAAGTATAAAAATTTCCTAACCAAACTTCAAATTGATCATATTTTTAGATTCACTGAGAACCAACACCTGCTCGCGACTAAAGACACTCGTCTCCGGTTAGTTTTCGGGGATCCCAAGCAATAATTCAGTTAGGAATATCATGATAAAACAATTCAACAGATCAGAAAGTAAAAGCACCTAGATGCTGACTTCCGACCAAATCTTGCTGAAGTGCCCATCAGTAAGTTGAAGAACGCTCCGGAGGAGCGGGGTGGATGGACGAGACGGGATGTTCTGCACACATTAACCGCGTGGAGAAGATTTCAACTCAGGGCACTCAACCCAGGAGGGGGCATAGGGGGACCAGAATCGTTACATGCACGATATCTGATGTTATCTAGGTAGTTTGCTGTCTTACCTGTTAGACAAGCTGCATTCGAATCACACATGCTAGGATCAATATGGCAGTTCTTCTCAGCATAGCATTGCAAACCATCTCCGAAAAATCCTTCATTACACTCGCATTTGTAACTCAACTCTTCCTCGTTATAATTACAAGTAGCGTGGGCGCCACAGTTGTTTAGTGTGTCGCATCCTATGACTTTTTCTCTGCATTCGGTGATGCCGTTACCAACATACCCGGGTTTGCAAGTACAGTAGAACGTTTGATACTCATCATCGTAGAGACATTCAGCATTTTCCACGCAAGTTCCACCTCCACACGACCCGGCAATGATTACGCATTGAGTTTGGGAGTCGCGAACATAACCTAAAATGAAATCGTGTATGTCTATTATTGTTACAATAAAAGTGAATTCAAATGGTTTATTGTGTGAAAACATGTTGATAAATAGAATCAAAACTACTGGCGTAAAATTAATTTATTGAAAACACTTTTCCCATACCAGAACAAAATTCTGTCTCTCAGACAGTATTTTGTTTTATTGTGAAGAAAGTGTTTTAATAGATTCATCAGAACAAAATAATGTCTCTCAGACAGTATTTTGTTCTGGTGCGGGAAATGTGTTTTCAATAGTTACCTCAATGATTTCAAAGAAGAGGTTGGAATATTTTCCCATATCCTAATTGAATACTATAATTTTGAATAGATAAGTGAAAAGTAAATTACCTTCCGAAAATATATTGCTGAATTTTATATAAGTAGTATTTCGTATTTCAAATTACATAATTACACTTTTCCCATACCAGAACAAAATACTGTCTCCCAGACAAATACCCAAAAAAGGGCAATACAAAATAAAATACTGACGACAGTATTTTGTTATGGTGTGGAAAAAGTGTTTCAATAGTCACCTCAATGGTTTCAAAGTTCAGATTGAAGCAGTTTCCCATATGATAATTAATAGTATAATTTTGAAGATACGTGAAAAGTAAATTAGCTTCTGAAAAATATAATGCTTAATTTGAAATATTGTATTCCTGTAACTGGTGTAACTGGTGATTACACTTTTCCCATACCCGAACAAAATCCTGTCTCTCAAACAATAATTTTTCTGGTATGGGAAAATTGATTCATCGCAGCAAATTACTGTCTCTCAGACAGTATACATACTGTCACAGTATAAATACTGTGTGAGAAAAGTGTTTTTGATAGTTTCAAAGTTGAATTTGAAGCAGTTTCCCGTATGCTAATTGAATACTATAATTTTAAGCAAAAATGAGACAAAAATATAAAATGTCTAATTTCATATATTATTCCTGTAATTGTTTTTTTTGAATTTCATCAATCTAGATATTCCAAAAAATGGTTCCATCTGTATATGGAACACAAAAATTAACACTAGTTGATCTTTCTCCTATGTCCCAACAATAACAATTTAGAAGTTTTTGATTCAATGAACCTTTCATCAATGAACATAACATTTAAAAAAATAAAATTCAATTTATGTATATTAAGCCGAATATGTATTTGTTGTAAAACAGTCTCCATTTGTTGTTGTATTAATTGTAAATCATTCCTGAAATACATCAAGCTTGTTTTATTAGTAAATTTTACTAATTTTCTAAGAAGTCGAAAGCCGACAAAAATGTATATAGGTAAATGAGAAATAATAGTGTGGCGTGACCAGTGAATTCTGCATCACATGGCTTTTTCATAAATAACTTTATTCAGTAGATTTCCTTGTCAAATTCCGTCGATATAGAAATAAAATTAAAAATACTATATATTTATTTTACATGAATATATTATTATCAATTTTCAATAACCCTGCTCCAAAGTGCGTATGGAAATCAATAAACGAAATTCTTCATGGTAAGACGAATCATTAAAATGGTGAAATTGAATATTTGTCAAAGTTTAAACAATTCTCTTGTTACTGTTGATTGGCAAAAATTCATCATCTAGTATTCCTACTCAAAATATTCCAACAGTTCAATAGAAATTATCGTCTATGTATCTCAAGTCTACCGAACCAGAAGAACTAGAAGAAATACATGATTAGTACGTTGGAATCGAGAAAAGCTCCAGGATTCGACGGAATTGCCATGAAAATTGTTAAAAAAAATCCATATGATGTCACACTGTAGATCCCTGCGAGACATCACAAAAAATATTTCTCAATGAATTTTTTGTTAGCATATCACATTTTACTTTTTTATTTACTAAAATAATATTAACAACAAAATTAGTAAACAATTATATGAAGTAATTTCTTACCTTCCTTACATACGCATTCATATTGTTGAGAACTAGTCAAAACACATTCTTCTGTTGCAGTGCAATCCTGATCGGAAGAGCAGGTAGCTAGAAATTAAATGATAAAATAATAGAGAATCTGTTTCATTTTCGGTAGGGACAGATATTTCGAATTGACTAAGGAATGATATATCAGACGATACCTGAGTTGGGGGTTATAAGGAGTGGTTTATACTATACCAACGAAATTTTCAAAAATTCGTATTCAAATATTCCATTCAAATATATAATCTCAATAGATGGTTAACCTACTTACAGGCACTTTGAAAAGATTATCTATCAGTGCAACAAGAGAAGATCTACTTGCAAGCTGTCTAAGAAGTTGTTTGTACGAACTCATGTTAGATGTTCAGGATTGAAAAATATTATACATGATTTCGGAAGTCAGGTTAGATGTTGAGGGTAGATTTTTTTTCCAAATAAAGCATTCTAAAATACGTTAGTTTTTACTTCAGATTTCAGGTTACATATGTTGGTTAGGATATGTTAGGTTAGTTTAGTTGAAAAATAATCGATTTTATTTTATTCATTTTTTGATGTGTTTAATGGAAACTACAAACATCTAATTTCAGCTACAATCAACCCTATCGTTTGCAGTTTGAGGACATTTGTTATTTTATGATTTGAAGTCTTGTTATCGTAGGTTTTGTGCTATACTTCAAAAGGATGTAAAATAAATTATTATTGTGTTGTTACTACAATAAACTACAATCAATTTAGAACCTATTTCAAAACTTTGCAACGCATTATTATTTGTATTGCGTAAGTAAAACAGTATATTCAAATAATTTTTGGGCTCAATGTCCCTTAAATTGTTGAATTCATTCATTCGTCATTTCATGATTTTCATCAAGTGATGGTCATGTTCGTCCCACCTCAAGTGTTGGTCGAAGAAAATTCCCAAGTATTTAATCGACGATGTCTTTGTTATTTCTGCGCATTAACACTATCGACTTGAGTAATCTGGTTCAAGAAATTCAAATTTTTTATGTTTGGTTGGTCGAATGATTAAAGAGAAAAGATGGTAAATTTTGTTTTTTGTATGTTCAAACTCAATTTGCTATTGCAGAATGTTAACTTCTGTTCCAGTTGTTGCCTTTGAAAATTAATGCAGTGTCTTCAGCTTAACATATGCTTTAAAAATTGCTAATGTGGTGAATCTTGTTTATATAAACAAGGAACAGTATTGGACCAACTACTGTACCCTGAGGCACATCAATAGATATATTTAATGGCAATGGGTTTAACCTATTTTAACTCGTTGGGTTCTGTCATTGAAATAAATCTGACATAGTTGTCTTTGGTTATGCTTCGTTGGCCTCCGGTATTTGTCCCTCTCTCAGAATCTGGGGTCATCCCTGTTTAGTGCGTTATGTAGGTCGCTTAGCGCTGGATTGTCGTGCGCTCGAATTGTATCAAACGTGTAGTAATAATGATTTGATCAAGTTCCAGAAAAATCACTAAATACTTGCAATAGCTGCAAACTCAGAATAAATTAAAGCAACGAACTTTATAATCAGAGAATGAGGGATAAACTTTTTGCCAATCCCAATGGTTCTAGATCCTTCTGGTCGGTAGCTGAAGCTGTTAATCAAAACTTCACAAAATCCACAATTCCTCCACTAACACAAGCGTATGGTTCAATTGCAAAACAGCTATAGAAAAAGTAAATCTACCAGCTGAACAATTTGCGTCACACTAAAATCCACAATGCCGGAAATTACTTTTCGATAATGTTTAGTCAGGTGAATTTTGAAACAGCTCAATATCAACAAGGTGTCTTGTCCTGAATAAAGTGCCTGTTCTCGTACTTAATAAGTTCGCAAATGAACTCGCACCAGTATTTTGCAGACTTTTCAACCTGTCTTACGAGAAAGGGGTTTTTCTTTATTGTTGGAAGATTGCTATAGACCAGTCGCTTTGCTATCAGTAATATCAAAAATCATGGAGAAAGCTGTAAACCACCATATCCTTGAATATTTGGAAGGCTTTAATATCTTGAGCGATCATCAATATGGCTTTCGAGAACAAAGATACAGGCGACCTTCTACCGTATGTCACCATGCAATCGAGAAACATGAAGAATTCAGAGCTGTTGCGCAAACTTCGATGCTATAGGACCCATTATACGTTGAGTAAAAATGTCATTACCTACCTGAAAATAATGACATTAATAATGAAATTGGAATGATCACAAGTATTGAAGCGGTAATTGAGCCTATCCGGATATTTTGATTTTCGAGTATCATTCCCAGCAGGGGGAGGGGATACTGTCAAAAATAATGATAGTGTAAACTGAGGGCATCATTATTTCGTCGTTACTCAGTTAGTTCAGTACTTCAGTGCGCATCCATTTCTTACAGAATCTGAGGAAGAATTGTCACATATTGGAGTCGAACTAGCGATATTTAATACTAATTTTACACCCTTACAATTTTTTTCTTTAGTTTCATTTTGAAAATCAACAGCATACGTTCCATTTTAATAAGTTACTTTCAACTATTAGGTCTCTTATAATTTCCTAATTCCGTTATGATCACTGACACAGGGCGCGCTCCCTCCGAACTGTTCATAACCGTATTTTTTCGTGTGAAAATTGGTTGGACCATTCGCAATAACTTATTGAAAGTGTCTTGATCCGTACGAAAATAATTTTTATAATCACTCTCTTCCTTCGTATTTCTTATTTCCATCAATGTGAATAGTTTTCGCTATTACCTCTAACCATTCCTTTATCCAGTAACGACGTTTAACATAACGGTTCATGCAATAATCATAGCTAGACATTCTTTTTTTTTTAATCCATAATCGATAAAAAATACAGTCTATGTGATTTCTACGCCACTGGAAACATAATAATGATGAAAAAATAATATCAGTAATAATGAACATGTAAGGTGCGGAAAAAACTGACAGGAAATGACAGGACATTTTTGGTAATGAAGTTCATGTAATGATATGCTGGAATGAAATTATTACTGAATAGCCCTGATAGCCCAAATAGCCTGTCGGATCATTTCTTGTATGGCTCTGCAGCTTCTCGAAAAAAAACCAAGAACCCAATATATTGCTTTGCTGACATTTGGATTCCAGGACATCCACTGCAGATGTACATCTTCACTTGCAGCAGGTCCAATTCAATGCCACAGAAATCCAGGCATCGGTTTTCTCCAAAAAGATAAATGTTTCCGAACCGTATATAATAATGACAGGACAAACAATTCCACTTTCTGCTTCGATAAGTTTATTGGAAGTTAGAATGAACACCAATATGTCTTGGCACAATTATGTGGCTGGAATTGCAAAGGCTGCTTCCCAAAAGCTTGGAACACTATTCCGAACCAGGAAACTGTACAAACATCAGCTACTATTGATGCTTTATAGAGCTCCGATCAGACCCTGAAGCTGCTAGATTCCATACAGAAAAGAGCCATCCGCCTTATTGGAGACGCGAACATTACTTGCAACCTTGATAGTCTGGAACATCGACGAAAGGTTGGAGATTTGTCTTTTTTCTATAGATACTTTCATGGGAAGTGTTCAAGTGACTCGGCAAATTTGATTCCACCAAAAGCGGTACATATCAGAAATACGCGACGGGCTGTGGCTGCGCATCGTTTAGAGTTCAACTCAGTACACCTCGAACTTTACTGTTTACGAACTCTTTCATTTGGGAACTGCGTTTATGTGGAATGAACTTCCTAACAATGTTTTTCCAAATTGATTCAATCTCCAGCGATTCAAATCCAATGTGAATCGCTACTTTCGCACAGGCATTAACCAAGCATTTGGGCATGATGGTGTTTATGAACGCAACGTTTGACGTTTGGTTTGCGAAATTTCGTTCCGGAGACTTTTGCGTCGAAAATATGTCCCGAAGTGGTCCACCTGCAGTAATCCAGGACGAGGATTTGAGAATCCTGGTAGACTGACCCATCACCAACGATGCATAGGATGGCGGAAGAACTGGGCGTCATGTCAGTCCCATGCGGTTTTTCATGGTTTCACACGTACCTAATGGAAAAATTAAAAAGCTAGAAAAGTGGGTGCGCCACGATTTGAACGATCGATAGAAATTGTCACATTTCGAGGTCTGTTCTTTGCTTTTGCGCAACCAAAACGATCTTCTTTTGGATCGGATTGTCACGTGAAATGAAAAGTGGATCCTCTATGTTCAGGACAGTGATTGAACACTGATGAGCCACCCAGGCACTTCCTAAACTCGAAAAATAATGAAAAAAGAATATTATGGTTACCGTATGGTTGTCACCGGCTGGTGTAATCCACTGTAACTCTCTCCAACTGGGCCAAACCATCACAGCAGAGTGCTATTGTGAAGAAATCAACGAAATGTATTGTAATGAATCTGAAGCCGGCCCTGACCGACGCATGACGCATGACGGAATACCGCGAAAGAGCGGGAAGGATGCGGATGAGTCCCGAAATCCGCAGAGGGATCCGGAACGTTCGTTGACAATATAAAAACGTCGCTAATCGTCCCGAAGAGTAGTTTGAACCAAGAAAGCGAATCGAGCGGTTAACAAACGGTGAAGATAAATTAAGCGTTAGTTACTGAGTGGTGTAAATAAATTAGTTGTGATAGTGAAGTATTGTTAAAATAAATTTGTTTAAGACAGTTAATTCTTTAATTCGTTACAGTATCGAAAATAGCGTCTGCAGCTGCCGGCACTGATCAATAGAAGAGGTCCGATCCTGCTCGATGACAACGCCCATCCGCACGTTTTACAAATCAACGTCCGAAAATTAATAATAATAATAATAAATATGCTTTATTGTCCAAAGAACAACTTTTATTGACAAAGCTTTGATGAACATTTTGATAAAGACAAAACATTGTCAAGTGTATGAAATCAGAATAATAAAAATAAAAAATTTTTAATGTCACTTTTTCTGAAAGACATTAATTATATACAATATAAATGCAATATAAACAAATATAAACAAAATA